ATGTTCCAGTTTACTGACTTTAGCTTGCTGTTTAATTCATTCATATTCTTTCTCCTTGTCAGGGCTACAGGGATTGAATTAAACCGCAGCACGTCTTAGATTGAAGACAGGGAAACACTCTCAAAAAATTTAAAAGACAGATGGACAGTCATTTACTTTGAAGCCACTGAGCACACTAGTTTTGGAAATATATTGATAATATGGCTTACAATAGGAAACACGCTGTCTAACATACTCTAGTTTTGATTAAACGATAAAGTTGACACAATTTATTAAAACCTTGTTTGTCATGTGTAGAACTTGTGGGTATTTTGGCTTCTCCAGTTTATGTACGATAACTTTCAGGTCACAGGAATGTAGAACACTTGAGGACTTTGTGAAACCACACAAGCACAAGAAAAAGAAACATACAAGCTCCACGCTTAAAGGAAGGAAACTAAACCCAGGACATAATACTGCAAGGAGACTGTGTCAACAACAGTGAACTACCTGTGCTGGCTCAGTTCTCGTCACCTGCACCAATACCCAGGATATTATGTCGACATCCACCTTACCCCTCATTAAATGCAGATAAATCAGCTACTGTCTTTTTTTCTCTTTAGGGCAAGTAAAGAGTTTATAGGTCAAAAACACTAATTACTGACTCTGTCACTTAATCTGGTTGAGGCCGGAGATTTATAGAGGTATAATCCCACTGTACTGCCACAGGAAATTATAAATCCGTGTGACATCTACCTGGCTTCCAGATATGTTGTCTTGACTAGACAAGGAGAAGAGAGCGGGGAAACAAAGATGAAGAGCTGAAGCAGAACTATGGGGTGCAGAAAGGGGGTGAGGCAGATAAAAAAGTCAGAGGGAGGGAGGGAGAGAGAGAGAGGGCCCAAGTTTAACCAGTTGTCAGTTATTCTGACTCTGCTTTCTATCGCATCCATTGACCAGGGACTGGGGGAAAAGCAAAACAAAATAGTGCAGAGGCAAAAGGGAGAAATCAAGTCAGTTCTCCCTCAACACCAGCCCCTCTCTACTGCTGCCCCCCTTCTGTTTATCACCCTCACCCTCTCTCTTTGGGAGGTAATGGGAATCTGAAGGTAACAGAAGCCAGTCACGGTGGACATGCTTATCCAGACAGACTAGACTTTTTGTGACTGTGTGTGTGTGTGTGTGTGTGTGTGTGTGTGTGAGTGTGTGTGTTTGGGGCGTACAGATTGAATCCTGCATCCCTGGGGAGCCTAACTACCTCTCCATCTCTCTGACTGACCCTCTCAGAGAGAGAGAGAGAGAGAGATGGAAAAAATTTGGAAGAAAAAGCAGAATGATGAAAAAAGAGAGAGCAGAGAAGTCGCTGCTGCAGCAAAGCCCAACAGCTCCCTCTGTCGTCACCGGGAAAATGTTGAGTCCCTCTCTCATTCATTCCCCTCCTTACTTGTCTTTCTGTCTTCCTTTCAAATTCAGTCTCTTCTTCTTCAACATCTCCCTCTGTTTAATGTTTCAGTTTCCCTATTTTACAGTTTCAAAGAAACTAGTTTACAATGCTACGGCTTATGAGAAAGAGCAGCTGGTTCCTAATTAAATATAAATATAACGATTACAGTGTAATAAATTAATCCCTCTATCTCGCTGCCCCCCTGGTGAGCTACGTCAGCAGTGTTTGGATTCAGTTGCCTTTAAACCCATTCCAGTAGACAAGTTTTTTTTTTTTTTTCAGTTTTTCTTCGAAATTCAATCCATCATATTTCAAGAATGTGGAAATAATAACTTTGGCCATAAAATCTTGCTCACAGCCAGTCAAAGTCAGACTTACAAGTAAAAGGCATGACATAAGCATATCTTTGAGTGTTTAATGTGCACAAAACTCTCATCTGTACATGTTTTGTTTTGTCTGCAAAGCCAGAAGAACATTAACATTTGAAATGGTTTGCTAAAGGATGATCTTTTTAATCAGGTGGCTCTCTATTAAGCACTTATTGTGTACTCCCAAGAATGTCTCCTCAGACACGGCATAATCTGTAACCTTGGTTTGAGTGTGCGGTTCTCATCATCCACTATTTGTGTCTTTTCAGACATTGCTTCAGGAACATACTTGTTCACAGATTTAATTGTATCTATAAGTAACACAGCCATGAAGCACTGTATTTCCAATGCCAGATCCTGAAACCTCTACGATGGCTCCAACAAATCTGACGACATTTCTGTGTCAGCTTCTGTGCAATTTCTTGGCTGAACATCAGTGAAAAATCTGATACCTCACCCACCCCGCTTTCATCTGTCATCCAAGCCAGGTTTCTGTATACCGCTCACCCTAAATAGCACAAAGATGTACTGGTACAAGGGGATTCTGTGTTTCTGTCCTGCTTTTAAAGTATACAATCACTTTCCCAGACATAGACCCACACTTTTGTGGGAAGTGAAAAGCGAGCTAATGTTCGTTCCTGAGACAGCTAAGTGAAGACGAGCAGTTTCTGGCTGCAGGTCTCGTTTCAGCAGTGGCCCTCATAAAAGAGTAAGCCGAAAGACACTGCTGATAGAAGTCATGCTGCCCTCCTCTCCTCCCCCGCCTCCTCCTCATATTCTGATAGGAATCATGCTCTTTTTCCTCTTAGCCCTGCTCCTCCGATCGCCTGCCCTGTTGTTTCTCCTCTCCACTTTCCCCTTATTTTCTCTCTGCCTCCTCTTTCTTTCTTCTTGATCCTTTCGATCCTTTCGTCTAATCAAACTGTATTACTATGTGACTGAAATACAGTAGCTAGAAGAATTAATTAGTGAATCAAGCAAACACCCAAAAGCACAAATTGGACACAACTGTGGTGCTGTTTGCAAAAAAAAAAACACCATTTTGTTGAGCCACAATCAGACTGTTAAGCCAAGTCATGGAGAGAATACAAGAAACAGCCATTCAATACTAGGATATTGGAGACATTCTTTTGTTGTGATGTGCCTTTTAAGTGGCCACTGAACCACAATGTAAACTCACCAGAGGAAAAAATGGAATTCTGCTTTTCTTCTCTGCAATGCCGACTGGTCTGTAGGCTCATTAGCAAAATGCAAGGGGCAAAAATAAACGGTGGATCGCTGTCTGAGAAGTAACCACATAATAAAGAAATGTGGCGGAAAATGACAACAACACTGTTGCAACACTGGAAACTAGAGTGGAATCAAAAAAAGCTTTTCGCCTGTGAGAATGTAACACAAGAAGTTACAAACCCTTTTTTCTATTTAACAAACTGGACCTCTCAAGGAGCTCTCTTTGTGCATCTCTCACTCTATTGTTTGCTGCAGACTTCTTTTTTAAAAAGGCTCTGCAAGAAACAGCACTGCATAGCAGCCAATCCTGGCTGGTAAGAAGCCCCTGTCAAATAAAAGACAACAACAGCAAATGATTTTCTCAATGGCTCCCACAAGACTGAAGAAAGAGAGCGAGAGAGTCAGGGAGTGTGAGGTGAGGAGAGATGGAGAGACCCAGGGAGAAGGTGAGGAAGAGGAGTGGGGGGGTGCAAAGGGGGAGGGAAGGAAGAGGAGGTGGGGGAGAGTGGGGAGACATTTCATAGAGCAACAGTGTGGGAGACAGAAGGAGAGAGAGGTGGAGAGGGAGAGAGATTATTGCTTACTTGAGAGCAGCAATCTTGAGCTGTGCCATGAATACCAAAGACTGTACAGCCCTACAGTCAACGCCTCTCTCTCCTTCTCTCTGCTCCCCCGTTGAAAACGCAGCAGAATTGCAGCTGCCCAAATTATACACCGATATCTCACTTTAGACTAGGGTCCATTGAAAACCACTCAGCTATTGCACAGTACTCCGTTCATGTCAGACCAGCATACTCAAACTCAACCAGCGAGGACACGTTTTCAGTAGATTTCGGTCCGTGCAACAATTAAAAAATGATCTGTGAGCCTACAGGGGCGATAAGCCAAACGCACGCGCCTAATTGAGTGCAGAATGAGCCTGAATGAGCCTACGGGCAAGTGATCTGTATGCAATTTTTATGTAGTTTCACAGGCGCTGGCGCACACGGCACGGGCAAGGACGCAGCTCCGGTTGAAATATTCAAATGGACTGAATACTAAAACGTATGGTGTCTTTAGGGGTTCACATTTCAATTCTCTAGACTGTAGTGTAGTTATTGACTGAATGAATTTCTGGATGAAACAGGCCTTTATGACAAATAAATGCAAATCCAGCTGTCTCTCCTAAAGTAACGACTGTTTGTCTCTTGAATGATTGAATGGTTTATTTTTCCGCTAGCGAATTTGCGATTTGACCGTAAAACACACACACACGCACACAACAAACACACACACACAACAAGTCTGTGTTGACGGCGATCCGAAGTAAAAGTTGTGCGTCGCCGTTACGCAGGGACGCCGGGAGGCACCGAGACAGCGAAAGAGAGCCTTCGTAGAGATTAGCCCCCATATACGTGGCCAGACACGCACACTGTCCGATGCGCACACAAATGCACGATCACGCACACACCAAACTAGCGCAAATATGCAGACACACGCCGATTTACTTTAAATGTGAAAAAAATACTGTCTGTGTTATGTGGAAACCCAACCGTCATTCAGTGGCTCCGAGGGCCAAAGAAAGTCTGCACTGTTACAGCCCGCAGCACAACAAATACCCCAAGTCTTCATATTTTGTTACCATCGCTAATGCGCAACGGCCCTATGGGGGTTTCGTGGCTTATTACTTATGTGCTCGAACATAACGAACTCCGACATCCTCTCACAGTGACCTTTTTAAAATTTATATGCAGTTTGTGTGACAACCCTGCGTTTGGATTCATCCCGAACCGAACCACAATCTCCCCAGCATCCCGGGAACCGAAACATTTCACTTCGTTCCTTCTCGCCTGTTTTTACGCTCATTAAAGCCTCTGCAGAAGGAGACGCACGGACGGGAAGGGTGAGAAAGAAACAGACTGGGGATTGAAAAGAGATGATGGGACTGTGTTGAGGTAACAACAGCAAAATCCCAGTTATTTAACTCGAGCGGTCCTTACCTTGTAAGTGAGTGTCCGTGCGCAGTCCGTCTCTCCAAGGAAATTTCCCCAATACATACAAGCCAGGCGAAAACGATCACTTGTCTCAACTAGTATTGCTTCTTTTCTCTCTTTCCTCAGATGTCCAACACATCCACTGATTGAAAACCCAGTTTTTCTGTTTTTGTGCGCTTTGAGTAGAGATGGGGAAAAAAAACAAAATAAAGCAGAGCCTAGTCAGTTCTCCTCAAACCCAAAATGTTCTCTCTCCTATGTTTTATCCGCTGGAGCGCAGAGGCAAAAATACCTAACCAACCATGCGGGTTCAAAGATGAGTAGAAAAAATAGAGGGTAAAAAAAAAAAAGATAGACAGAGCAGTAGTGCGTCTTGATAAGGAGAATTAAGTGGTGTTTGTTGTAAGGAGGTGGGTGTCGGGAGAGAAAAGAGGGAAATCACCGTGGCATCCCTCCCTCCCTCTGGTATCAAATCCGGTACCGTCAGCGGCGTTTATCCGTCCTCCCTCCAAGAGCCTCGGAAGCGGAGTGAGGGAAGCTGGACGGGCGCGCAGCAACGAGAGGGGAGGGGGGGGAGGATGGTAGATGGGGGGAGAGAGAGAGAGAGAGAGAGAGAGAGATGTCGCTGCCGATGGAGGGCGTTGGAAACTAGAGTAATCCTCTCTCTCACACTTTCTGTCCCCTCTGTATATTGTGTCTTGCTATAGCCTAGTAATCATTTAATATTTTGGTTATTAGGATTCTATTTAAATTGTCTGTCATGGGACTGTGGGAATAAGTTCTGGCACCACAGAGGACAAATAAATGATCTAGTGCAACAAAATGTCAGAACCTTTGAAATCCACACATCTCATAAATATAGACTACAGTAAAACAATATATTTGTGTTTGTAAAAAGCACTTGTGCTGCAATATGTCTGGTTTATAGGCTAGGCCTAATACTGAAGAGCTCAGGTCACATTATGTCCCCATTGTGACACTGCACACCATTGCAGTCTCAGATCTAAATCCTGACTGAGAGGCAGCAGCAGAAGAAGGAGCCCTGCAGGAGGGCTACATGAATGCAACAGTTGCTCTTTCCTCATTGGCTGAGAGCGCTGTCCAACCACTGCCAGAGCAGACTTAGAATCTCATTGGCATCCAATGAGGGGATAGGAGGGGAGTGTTGAGGGCGGGACGGCTGTGGAAGACCCTTCTTTCTGAGAGGTGATTAGCTGAATAAAAGTCCCATTTAAAATATATCCTGGCCAATGATAGAAGAGGAGTACAAAACTCTTGAAAAAAGGCAGATCTCATCATCATTGCAGTCAGGTGAAACAGATGGTTCATGACTCCCTCCATTTATGTCTTGTAACAGTATTCACTACAGCAACATTTTTAAAATATATTTTCATGTATTATTTGGTGTGCTGCTTGACTCTTTTGGGTCAGAACCTGACTCATTCGCTACCTAAATGTGTCTTTTCAGAGCTGCTGAGGCTTATAAAGCTTTCATTTGAAATTTGTTGCACTAATGGCCATTACTTCCTCACTACATTGTACATTGATTAACAAAAGACACTTGAACGGGTTCTTGTTCTTAATGTTTTATTCTTATGTGCACTTTCAGGAACTATTTGGATGAAGCAAGTCTTTAGTTCTTGGCTCCTGAAAGGCTGACTGATACAAAGTTTTAGTGACATAATTTGATGTTTTTCAGAAAACCCCAGATTTTTCTAAACGAGCAGATCAGATTAAAGTGGCTCTAAAGTCCAAACGTTGTAGTGTCTGCTGTTGCCAGAAGACATTATTCACCATAGCCTATTAGAAGTGCTGTCTAAATAGAGAAGTAATTTGAGTTGCACAGTTTTGAAAGTGTAAACAAAACCGCATTTAGGATAATACAACATAAATCATTTATAAATTATATAGTTTTGCCTTAGACAGGAAACCTTAAAAAAAAACAATGTCTGATGTCAATTTTAAATATTTCAAAATTCAAAGCACTCCCTTTTGTACATTTCTGGATGCATTTTGGGGCATTAATGGCAGAGGTTTGAAAAGCTCTGATATAGTGCTCATTTGTAAGAGGGACAGCAGGGGCTTTCATTCAGTGGTGAACAGTAGATGATAATACACATTTTCATTATGGCATTCAGCAGGCCTTTATTACTTTGAATGCAAAATGACATAATTAGATTAAGATAAAGGGCAGGTTGTCAAATGTAATTAGAGAGTATTTTTGGCCATAATGAATGAACATGTAAACAACTGCAGCCCTTTTTTTGCACACAGTCCCTTCATTTCAGGGTGCCTGCTGGTATATAGAGAGATTAAAATTAGTTTCAATAAATGAGTCAGTCTTTGCATGTATTTAAAATTCTAAGTGCACACCAACTCCTCCCCATATCTTTTTTAGTTTATTTGTTTTTTAAGTCCATGCCAGAGCCTGCAAGTGCAAGGGACAGCGAGGCAATGCTAAGAACTAAAAGAGGGATTGATTTGTTTCTCCTCTTCAAAGACAGAGGAATTTCATGGTTTTTTAAAGCCTCTATGCGCACTCACCTTTCTCACCGGTGCTGAGTGAGGATAAAACTGTTCCACCAATTTCCATTCCAGAAAATGACTGGACCAGAAAACATTAGGTCTTCACTTTTTAAACAATTTATTTTTTTCTTGCTTAGGTTTTAGGGGACGTTTTTGGTTTCGATTAAAAAAATATAAATATATCAAAACAACTGTAAAGTAAATTTTTTTGTTAAAATTCCAAATGTTGGATCAGACATTGAATTAAAGTAATAATATGCAAGATGATTGGTTTACTTTAGGCGCTTACCGTACATCAACAACAGTGCCAAGAACTCCCTTTCATATGTTGTTACTTACTCCCAATGTCATTTGAGTTTCTGTCACTGGAGCAGTTTGGTTTTGAAGTAATTGGTTAAAGGAAGGCAAGTGTAAAACAACTGTCAGTTTATTCGGACCACACCAGTTTGGTGTCAGAAGGGTCATTGTGAAGCTGCGTCACCCCCCCTACTGTGAGAGATTGGTACAACCCAGTTTAATTGCTGTCCAAAACTCCCAAAATGGTCTGAGTCATAATTGTTTTAAGTAAACAAACTGTTTGATACAATAAATTTGGTAGTTTTGTCAGAGGTCTTGGTGTGTGATCATTTAATTCTTAGATTAATTCCATAATTTAAAGCATACCTCTGATATTTTCTGATCCATATCCATCCAACTTGAACTGATTTCAACATCATCTCATCTGTATCAAATTTTCAATGACACACGTTTAAAAAAAGATTTGAAGTCTTGCCTTTCTCATGCAGTTTTAATGCTGTCTTCACTGGTGCTTTGACATGTCCTTGTTTACTCTAACTGGCTAGCTGTCAACATGCCCCCCAGACTAAAGTAATATATAGTGAGGGCTTTCAGGTCATGGGTAAACTGATAATCAAACAAAGACATGACCGTTTAGAGTATCATTATGTTTAAAAGAGAAAACAGAGTAAATATTCAAAGGAGGAAATTGTATTTCTCTTATGATTTACCCAGCCGCAAATTCAAACCACAACTTTTGAAACCACAAGCTCGCTCCTTAAACCTTTAAGCGATCTCCGTCTCTCAGCGGGCATGATGTTTACATTAATGTATGTCACGAAGAGCATTTGTAAACTGAAACATTGCACATTTGGGAGAAGTACGGTAATACAGCTTGTGGTGGCCACAGTGAGAGTCTGCAGTCTCAAACATTGAGCTGAGGCAGCAGTTCTGAGAGGTCTGGAGTCGAAAGACAATTCTGTTGTTGAACATGCTGACCCACAAACAGAAAGGGAATATTCGCCGAGAGCTGGGCCACCCACAGGAAGCACACACATGCATATAAAGACATATCGAAAACAACAGAAACACAAAACTAAAAATCCGTTTGAACTTACACAAAGATTGCAAGAGCGTGCAAAATTAAAGGCATGGAGCGAGACGACAGAATGAGACCTTTTCCCCCTTATAAAGTATGAACACCTCTAACTGCAGACACACAGGCAAGGCTGCACACTGCACTATTTTAGACAACTCTGTGTGTGTGTGTGTGTGTGTATCTGACTGCATATGCACCTCTGTGTGTGTTATTTTGTTGTGCTTTAGCGAGGGTGTATTTGTGTACAAACATAATTATAGTTGATTGTGTGTGTGCTTAAGGCTGATTCAGTCATGGCTAAAGGTATTTAAGCCTCATTTTGGCTGTTACCATCTTACTGGTGATTGGACATGAGAGAAAGAAACACATACTTAACATTCTACAGAAATGTGTTACGTTCACTCTGCAGCAGGAGCCTAATGTTGTTTACATTTTGATGCTGTTACTGGTTTGATTTTCAACTAGATGTTCTCTATAAATGTACCAAAACAGGCATATGTTTAGTTTAGAAACCGCTTCAGTGTTGATGTTGATCCTTTAACCTACTAAATGGGAAACATGTTGGACGCTGATTGGAATTCAATTGATGGATTGGCTACATGTCCAATATTGTCGCCAAGCAGTGGATTTATATTTATATCTGTCAGTTAACATGCGGTTGAAAAGTCTGTTTGCTTCATGTCGTGAACAGTGGAATTATTGAACATGCAGAGTGGAAATGTGAAGACATGTCACTGGCTTACTCGTTTAATAAATTGATGCAGCTTTATTTATTTTCATAAAAGCCCCTGACCATGACAAAAAAGATCAGTGTGCAAGGCAATATCACGCTGAGTGGCTTGTAAAAATTACATTTGTGCAACTTTGAGATTCACTGAAAAATGATTATTTAATTGAGAAAACTGTTACACATAAAATGCTTGATAGCATAGCAATTAAACACAAGGTGTTAATAATTACAACAGGTACTTGTAGAGCTTTGAAAGGACGACAGTTTTCCTTTTGGAAAATACTCGAACAGAATGTTTTTGGGGGGGGGAACCTTTATTCTACATTGAAAATAAATCCAACAGACACCAATCTTATATTCATTTCTTTCTTTTCAGTAGTTTAGATATAGTTCTCAACAGCATCTTTGCATTTTATTGCTCCCCTACCCTATTTACCACTCACTCGCCTACATGTGCTCTATATCAAGCCCATAGGATATAGGGTGAGAAAACGGTCTATTCTCCAGATACCCAACAGGTGTCATTTTCACACTTTGTGTTGTTGTTAAATGTGTTCTCATGTAAAAGGTGGCTGACTCCTGGAGGATACTCGCACAGTCCCAGTTTATACAGTGGCCTCAAATAATCTTCTACCCAATTCTTGAGTTTTTCTAGAAGTCAGAAAACATGCTTTGTCCTAACTCAGCATAGTTTAAACAAACTAATCTCTTTTGATTTTACACTGCAGATAGAAACAAACGGATTACAACTTTCAAATTACATTTTCGGCTAATGTTCAGGATAATATACTAGTTCAAGCTCTTGGTCTTTGATGTGGAATCCAGCCAATTCGTTTTAACACACACACACACACACACACACACACACACACACACGTATCTCTGTCTTC